ATATTATTTTATTAAAGAATGTATTGTTGCAAATGAGTAGAAAAATGAGAATAAAAATTTTAATGTGGATTAAACAGGTAAATATTTTTTCACTTATACAAACGAAGTTAAAGCCTTACCAATATAGTAATAAATGTATTGAAATTTAATAGAGGTGGTGAATGCGAGCCCTCCATCAGTTTTATGAATGATTTTAATAATTTGCATTGACATCAACAGAAAAAATAGCCTTCCAAAAACAACGAAAAGAAGCAATTCAGCGTCAATCAAATACTCGTCATTTATTTCATTTGATGCAAATTGCATAACAGAATCGCCAATGAGTTAAAAACACTAAACCCACAATAGATCGATTAAAAGTGAAAAAAATACAACTAATGTTCTTTTTATTCGTAGATATATTCTTCTGCAAAAACTCCTCCTCCAGATTGGTATATTAAGTCGAGGATGCAACGATATATTCTAAAACTGATGATGTTGTAACAAAGTTGAGAGTAGACCTAAAGGCCCTGGTCGATAAGGTAGTCTCCCATCTTCTCCACCACCATATTACACTGGCCTGGAGTCATCGGTTCCTCGTATATACCAAAAATGAGAGCTTGGCCAGTTTTCTTTACAGTGACACCACCAGACCCCTGCAACAAGAGTGATAAAAGCAACATATATAACAAGAATGAAGCATGTCATATTTCAATATTTCTAAATGTGTCCTCTCTCTAAGCTTTATATGGATGGTTCAATGTGATATAAGAGCATACAAAGATGCTAAGCTCAATCTCACCGTCACCCAATTAAAAAAAAAAATGCGAATGTGTTAGGAGTTAGGACATTCATGAAAAACAAATCTAACAAATTTGTGAAGGGAGTGTGTGCTATGACTACATTTAAATACATAAATCTATTATTTCTCTAAGAGTTTAAACTTTTAGATTCAACAAACATAAAGAAAATCGTCTCACGTGCCTTGTAGTTTGCATAGACCGCCTAAAATGATGAACATAACATCAAGGAGAAGCAGGCAGTTAGACCCCCAAAATCCACCTACTTTTGTTAGAATTTGTGGTCAAACTGACTCCATATACTATATAATCAGCAAATCAACACGAATGATTTCATTGAAGACAAGGACACAAGCAAAAACAGTCACCCTCTAAATGTAATTGTTCCAAAGAATAGAAGAGTAATTAACTAAACACTTTGTGAAGGAACAAATATTCACTTCACAAATGAGTCGCCAAATATAATTTTTGCAAAGCTTTGTGATTCCCCAATCATAATACATAACAGAACTGTCAAAAATAGGACATGCAATCCAAGAGACGCAATCAGACTTTTCATCAAGAAAAGTTTAAACAAGATACTAGTATTTGACTACGTGAAAGATACTCGAGGAAGATAAGGTATGCAACCTGGTTGTCATACTAGATTCTAACATTTTTCGTATGAATCACAAATTTTCGAGAAAGCTAGATAAAGCACCTTCTTTCCACGGATCACAGCACCGGGTTCTCCCTGAATCACCATGTACTTGGTGCCTGCAAGGTGTAGCCCTGTAGGAGCAAGGAATCCTGGCTCATCGAAATCCTTTACTATATTAGCAATCTCCTCAGGCTTGAACTGTATATAGATATGTGTATACACTCATTATTGAAAGATCACAACACAAAATGAATCCAAATTTTCACAAGCACACACACATTCATACATATATTTGGAAAACAATAGCACTGCACCATCTATCCATACATAACAACTTTTAGAAGAATATAATTATTGAAAATTCCAAGTTCTAGGAGATGTTTCAATGAAACTCAGCTCTTTCGAGTGGTGTCAATCGAGCCAGGGCAATTGTGAAAAGGCCCATGATGGCTGGACTCTGTCGGGGTTTGTCCCACCACTTTTTTATCGACCTATCTCAATCCAAAGGCACGTCTCAAGATCATGGACCAGTTATCGCGATCCTATATAGCCTGGCAGGGCCTGCACTCAAGGATGAGCCTGCTCACCACTCAGCCTGATGCCCAGGACCTAGATGTCTCGGGCCAGTTCAACGCCATTAGATCTTCAATTGCAGTAATGCATGATCTTACAATAATCTTCCATACTAAATTCTCAATAAAATTAATGCTTGATAAAATGCCTTTGTAACAGAAACTCAACCCATCTATTGTACATGAATTCGATTCATTCAAATTACCTGTTTAACAATCACATTATACAAATATCCAATCTATATTACAAGGATCAAATTCCCAATCAACCCAATTGCATTGATCACAAATAAATCGAATAACAAATAGGATCTAAACAAGAAAAACAACAGATCAGATACGCAAACTTAAAAATAATTAGCAACCTGAGGGAAGGCGGCGCTCTGGGCCCAAACGCCGCCGTCAAGGCCGATGATGGCGGAAGCGGTGAGATGAACACCATCCACATCGCACATCAAGTGCTCATCGACATAAGTCTGCCACGACATTCTTCAATTTTATGTAATTTGCTTTGATATCTCCAACGTTTGTTTTGATTTGTTTATTGTGTCTTAATCGAAATAAATATACAAAGATGAATAGTTGCCCGGAAAAATCTGAACAACTTCGAAAAGATGGTGAATGGAGCCAGTCATGGGATGAATATTGGGCGCTGATTTTGACACGATGCAATCGCTGCCAATCTTTTTACTTCAAGGAAATTGCTGATTTTTTTTTTATTTAATTTGCATTATCATTGTCAGAACCATGAAACTATTTGTACAAAGTTGATTTATAAAAATTGGATTACAAAGTGTGTTGTCAAAATTTAGATCGTTGATTTCAAATGATTTAAAATCTGTTTTTAAAATGATTGGTATATATGTTATTTTGACAACCAACTTTATAACATACTTTTGTACATGTAGCATAATTCTGAGTGGTCATTAAATTTTAATGCGTTGCACTTCATCTATTAATCACTATATTTCATTAATCATTTAAATACAAAATTCTTTCGAGTTATTATTGAAATTCAATATGTTGCACTTCATCACTCACTAGATATGTTCCATTAGCTTCTGAATTTATACCTCAATCACACTTTACCCACTAAATTTTAAAATACTTTCGAGGGATCACTGAATTTAAATTTTTAAAAATTAAAAATTTTATATAAAATATCATACACTAAGATGACGTCATTCTTTCCTCTTGAATTATCTTTTCACGATCTAAAGATTGTATTTTGTTAGTCTTAATTAATATTATTGATTTTAAATCGAAAATTTGATTGCCTGTTTGAGATATAATTTTTTCTTTCTTGATTTTGGTCTACGATCTCAATCAAAATAAAGAAATAAATTCTCTATTTTATTTTCTCGACGTAAAGGAAGATTATAGTCTAAATTAAGATTTATATCAATTTGAAACTAGCATTCTTCTATCCATTGAAGGCTAATTAGCACAAAACGTCCCTACCTTTAGGGTTGATTTCGAAAACCGTCCCTACCTTTCATTTCTTGGCATTTATGCCCTTACCTTCAACGTTTTTGTGCGTCGGACGTCCTTTTCACTTCTTTTTGACGATTTTACCCCTCCTTCAAATAAAATAAAAAGAAAAGAAAAGAAAAATTAAAGAATTAATTGCAACTATAACCCTAAATTTTTAAAACCTACTTTTCGATCAGAAGATACTACATTGCTCGTTCTCTGGATAAAACATATGACCTAATATGACAAAAAATTTCTGCGACCTCAGGCAGCCAAAGCCGCTAGACTTGGATACTGGTCGACAGCCACCAACTTCCTCTCCAATTACCACTAAACATCTCCCAATTTCACCAAGTATTCTGGCCGGAAATGATGTACAAACTTTGCTGTCATCGCATCTGAAAATCGCCGGTAAATCAATCTCCGGCCACACCCATGACCGAAGCTAACGGCCGGTCGAAAGCCCCCTCCAAGGCGTCCCCAACCATAGCTTCCATTTACCCCAACAACAACTCTCCAGCCTGATTTAATTCCAGAACCCATGACTATCGCGAGTTTCGCGATTTCGCATCAGAACATCCCAGATTCCGACATCATTCTGGCGACCCATGGTCGCGGACCACCTGGGCTGGGTGCGCCATCACCTGGTGCACCTAGCCTAGCCATGAGTCCTCCCCAATTTAGCTCTAATCCACCCAACTTGGACCTGAAATGCTCAACTGCGCGAACTCGCGCAACAAGGACCAGAGGCTGAAATCCTTCAATTCTGGTGCCATCCTTACAGACCAAGGTGGCGGACCTACTAGGCTAGCCCCTCCTCACCCTGGTGCCCCTAGCCCAGATCTGGTTCAAGCCCAATTTCAACCCAAGCTCAACGAATTGCTGACTGAAACTCGTGTCCATTGCAAAAAAATTCGGTACTGATGATTTTGATGATTCTTCTTTGCTCCAAATAGGTTTGATGGTGAAGCTAAATAACCCCTACAATGGTTGTTAATTTCCCGTGATTTTGGTGGTGGTTGGCCGGAGTTTATGGCCAACAACGGTGGGGGCTGGTTGGGGGGCAAAAAAATTAGTATGTTGTGATTGAAAAGTAAGTTTTAAAAATTTGGAGTTATAGTTGCAATTAATTCTTTAGTTTTTCTTTACTTTTCTTTTTGTTTTATTTGAAGGAGGGGTAAAATCGTCAAAAAGAAGTGAAAAGGACGTCCGACACACAAAAACGTTGAAGGTAAGGGCATAAATGCCAAGAAATGAAAGGTAGGGACGGTTTTCGAAATCAACCCTAAAGGTAGGGACGTTTTGTGCTAATTAGCCATCGATTGAACATAGCTTTTGACCAATAGAAAAATCATGTGTTCTTGACCAATATTAATATTCTCATCTTAAATTAAGAGTCCGTTACCTATTCGATTTTTTTTTATATGGGTCGAATTTCATAGAAAATCAACTTTACTCGAAAATATATTAAAGTTCAATGACCATTCAGAAGCATTTTTGTGGAAAATAGAATTTTCCCAAGGAAAATTCTGTACAACTATGTAATATTATGGAATCTTTATAATTGCTTATTTTTAGGATAGTTATTGCAATCCCAGAATCTTAGGTATTGGATTTTTATGTATCTTTTATTTTTTGGCAACTTTCCTTATTTTGTTGATTGGGTTCATCTATATAAACTCTTGTAATAATGATAGAAAATCAATATAGTTTATATTTTTAATCTTCTATTTTCTGTCATGGTATCAGAGCTTTAGGCTCGTTATCCTAGAAATCATATTCATTTTTTTTTCATCCACTTTACATCATCAATTAAACCTTGTTTTATCACCCTTTGTATTGAAGAACAATGACAAATACTTCAGCAACCAGCAATCCTTCAGAGACTACAGTACTTGAAAGCAATAATCCTTTATCAATAGGAGAGTTGCAAAACATTCAAGCAGCCTACAGGTTGAATGGGAAGAATTATCGAAAATGATCACACCTAATTCGTACCTTTTTAAAGGGAAGAGGCACTGGGCCTAAAAAAGGGGATCCGAACTTCGATGCTTGGGATGAACATGACTCAATGGTGATGTTCTGTACTAGAAATCAGCTACACATGCATGTTTTTGGACACGGCCAAAGATATATGGGAGGCTGTGAAACAAACATACTCCAAGGTGCGTGACACTGCACAAATCTATGCAATCAAATTAGCACATATTGATGCTCTCAAATTATATTATTGACAGGTGTCCCTCAGACTAGACGTGTAAAATACATGAAATGATAAAAGGCTCAAGATGGCAAATTAACTGAAAGGAAAGAAGACAAACACAGTATGGAACAGACAATTGTTCACGAAAAGAGAGTTTACACATAATCCAATGAAGATAAAATTACAACTATATAAACTCCTCCCGATAACACCAAAGACCGAATTAAAATCGAACCATCGTTAAAATGGTGAAAAAAGTTGAATCAGACTTTCCACAATGGATGAAATGTTCAGAAATTTTAGAACCTGACAACAGAACAGAGTAACATACACAAATTAACATCTTGGTACAAATTATCCGTAAACACTCCGAGTGTGCTTAGAATCAATATCCCGCTTACAGGGTTATGCACAAACTCAATTCATTGATCTGACTACTCACACCGGACAACTTGATAGGCGCAGAGGAAGCCACATGCTGAGGCAACCACGACCTCAAAGCATTTTCCGATGCCTCAAACCCGCTCACTTTCCTCTGAGCACCCTCAGTGAATCGCTTCATAGTACCAACTTTCTCCCACTGCTTACATGTCCCCCGCCACTGCCCATCAGAATATCCACAATCCTCACACACAGACAGCCCTTCTCTTCCCCTTCGTAATACTACGTCCAACACTACTAGGACCTATAACATCCCCATATATCCTGCTTCCCTGGTCTATGCTCGAGGAACATCCACTGTTTTCGACAATGGGGTTGGGTTCCCGTTTGGTAACAACACATCTTGTGGCAGGGTCGTAAATTGCTTGGGGGGTTGAGGTATTAGGAGAAGTGGAGTCTGATGGAAGGGGACTGGCGTAGGCTGTGGTCCAGGTAGTGGTGATAGTTTCATTGGTGGCGCTGGTGAGTTGAGTGGAATTGCACAGGAATCGGGAGTAATTTGGGGATTTACAGGTGATGAGAGGATAAGGGTCTAGGGAGGAGATAGTGGAGAGGTTTTTCCGAAAGTAAATTGCACGGAATGCTCTCAGCTTGCAATTGCCTGAGAAAAAGAGAGGGAGTTTTCAGATACTGGGGATTCAAGAGTGGATTTATGTCAAGAGTGGCCGGAACTTCGTCCCAAAGTGGCGGCTGGCAGTTTTTGCTGTGTGAGCGGCCCACTTTGGGATGAAATTCCGGCCACTTTACGGAGGATTTAGGGATGATTTTTGGGTGGGTTGCGTAGAGGGAAGCGAGGGCTTCAAGGTGGTGTGTTGGTCCGGTGATTTTGAAGGACGGAAAGTGGTGGAATTTCGTCCAAAAATGGGTTTTTCACACAACACAAAACTGCCACCTGTGCGAGATGTTCACTTTGGGACGAAATTCAAGCCACCACCATCGGAGGTAGGGGCGGTTCTTAGGTGGGTTTCGTAGAGAGAAGCGAAGGATTCAAGATGGCGTGTTGATTCGATGGTTTTGGTGGCCGGAATGTGGTGGAATGGGGCAAGAAAAGTGGTGGTATGGGTTTGGGGTTGGGGAGATTTTAAGTTGAATTTTGCACTTGAGGTCCTCTAGCTTGTTTGTCCACGTGTTTTGGTGCTTTAGGTTTGAATTAAAACATAATAGTACTAAAACTAAGTTCAGTGACCGCTTCGGAAACAGCATGAAACTTTAGTTACCATTTCTACAGGTTTTAAACTTTAGTGACTGTTTTGTAAGTTTCGCGTAACTTCAGTGACCGTTTGTGAAATTAACCCCATTTTCAATTAAACATTTTCACTTTAAAACATTTTGCACGTAAATACAAAAAAGAATTTTATTTTTTAACAACACATTTTTCAAAATTTCATTATTGAAAAACCCAATTTACAAATTTTATAATTTTTGTTAACTCGCTTAATTTTTTTTATTAATTACGTTTATTTTATTAATTTGGTGAATAACTTTATTAGATAATATTTTAGTTCAAGTTTAATTTTGCTAAGCATTAATTTTTTAGTAGATTTTAATAAAAATTAATGAAATATATTATTGAAAAGTTAATAAAATTATAAATCTCGTGAGATATTTTTTTGGAAAAATGAGTTTTGGTCTAAGTTTGGTAGGGATTATAATCTAGATTTTAATATAAATCAAAGTCAACATTTTATAACATCCACAACTTTTTAACCACATATTTCATCATTTTTTATCAAAATCTATTAAAAATCTGATTTTGATAAGCAACAAAGATGAGCTTAATAAATAAGGGGCCAAAGGGAGGCTACTAATTGATTTTACTATAGTAAACAAATATAAGTATCATTGAATCAATCAGGATCGTTTGGTTGCCTTTCATCATCTCAAGAGTGTGAACCTATAGTTTTTTTAGGTACATGGATATATCATGTACATATTGCAAGAGTTTCGAGCTATAACGACATGAGCAACGTTATCGTGGCTTTTCTATCCCATTATTTATAAGAGTGTGTATTGGTTGTCTCTTCACAATATTTATTAGAGTGTGTATTGGTTATGTACACATTTGCAGAGATATGAGACATAACAGTGAATCGGTATTGTGATATTGCTGAAACAACAATGCACTTTTTAGGGTTAATTTCACAAATGGTCACTGAAGTTACATAAAAATCACAAAACGTCACTGAACTTTAAAACTTGCAGAAACGGTCACTGAATTTTCATGCGCTTTCACAAACGGTCATTGAAGAACCGTTATAATTTAAATTCAAACTTAAATGACCAAAACACATGAACATGGAACAGTAAGGACCTCAAGTGCAAATTTCATCTAAAAACCAAAAACATTCCCTTCTTAACCCACCAACTTGATCGAATGAAAAATACCCATTTATTTCAATTTTTGCATCAAGCGATTCATGTCTTGTATGTCAATGTCGTCAATATTGATATCTTGTACGTCAATATCTTCAAATAACACCATTTTCATACAAAATATTTATCAATCTTTAATGACTGTAGTAATATGATGATTCGAAAATAGCTCTTGTTGATCTCTAAGGGAGTCTCATACATATATGAGTATTATTTCAATGGTAAATGTCTTGTAAGTTATGGACATTCATCACACAAAGAATATATACCTTTAAAAGCATATTAAGAAAATCATAATGGAGGAAAAAAAAGTACATTATTATTTTTAATACGCTACAAAAATTGTTTCATTAAAAATCTTTCTAGGAAAACCAATAAGACAAAACATTGGTCAAGAAAAAAAGAGTACAACACGTGTTTACTTCATCTTATGATAATATCACTTGAATTATGTTTCAGACATATTAAATCCTTCTTTGGGTGCATAGTCAAGATAACATGATATGTACTCGTGATTTCATCCATCACGATCTTTGCAAAATCTACTACGTTAAGAGCCGTCCAATACATATACAACTTCATTTTTCTTATTTCACTTTTGCATAAGTATATAGTTTTAGATTTTCGGACTGGAAGTCCAGAAATTTAAGATTTCTCTAGTAAATTAAATTTAGGATCGCATTCCTTTTATTTGGTCAATTATTACTTCAATCGATATATTTCGACGACATATTTGTTTCGATTCCTCGCTACATGATGCAGTACATCATGTGCAAAAGTATTGTAGACAACTTTTTCTTTTTCGATTATATTCTTTTTTTATAATCACAAACTTATTCAAATATCTCAATTTTGAATATATCAAGTACCTGAATCTCTTCTGGGGTTTTACAATTTATTATGTCTAAACACTCATCAAGAGTATATGCCTCCTTAATGGGACCATCTTTGCTAATTACTCCATTTTCGTTTGGAGATTTTTATATTAAAATCAAATGTATTCATTCTTCAGGTGCGTCATAGATATATCAAATATAATATTAACTAATTGTCATACAGGGCGTTAATCCGAGTTGAAACATTTAAAATTGGTGTATAAGATATTGTTGATCTTTTTTATCAGTAAATGCATCAAATGAATTATCATTCAAACTTTTTGTTCGAATTATTTTTTGCAAGGATTTAGATGATGAAGCATCTGTATATTATTTTCAATTTCTTAATTCCTCCCCCGTAATTTTGGGAGAATTGTCCGATCAAAATTGAAAATCGGCAAATTGCATTATTAAATATCGCCTATTTGAGATAAGGGTTCAAACTACGCCATTCTTCTCAATATTCTTTAGTTTTAATCTCATTGCAATGTGGTGGATTAATTGAACTATCAAATAATTAGATGACAAAATTAGGCTCTGAATATAAGCTAGTTTTAACGGGAAGAACTATGATATTGGTATGGTGCGTAATAGCATTTTCTAAACAGAAATGAAAAGTACTTTGCTCTCAATTAAATTAATTGGATACATTTAACAAGCAATATGTTAAATTATTTATCGACTTTCCAATTAACAATTATTAAATATTGAGATTTATGCCCAATAGTATTAATAAGACACGGTCTTCATTATATAATCTGAAAATTATGCTCCTAATTTGAGCATTAATTTCGTAAACGTCTAGTTGCGAACAGAATGCAATCATCTAGTATTTGTATCAAGTCTTTTAAACACAAATAATATCAAGATGGTCAACGTGGATGATGATGGGGCCCCATTTATCATCCTGATTAATTTTCAAAAATATGAGAACAAATAATATATAGGAATTCATTGGATTGAAAAATCTTCTAGTTCTTTATTGGATATCCATTTGAATTTTAAATTTCGTATCATTGTTGATACAATAATGGTCGAACTGATCATGCCAAATAATAAAATTAAATTGAACTCATTGTTCAATATAAGATATAATTCAATTATTTAATTTCGAAAAATATGATTAAACATTATATAATTATATAACAATCAATCTAGTAGACAAACTAATCAATGTCAATATGACATGATTTATATGTTTTCCTTTAAGGATAAACATGAATTCAAAATGATATACTATTCGAAACATATGCTACTTCAAGAGCACGTTGTGTTTTGTAATTGCTTCTTCAAAAATAATGTCAATATTTTTCTAAAACATTGGAATTTAATGCCATGCTCTTCAGGAGCAATAATATTTTATTATTTAAAAATATAAATTATGTAAAGATTTACTCTCCATGGGCAATAATATAATTTATGTTAGATTTTATTTAATTATATCCTTTGGGAGCAAATAAAATCTAACTAGAACATTAATAATAGTGTATTACTTGAAGAGCAACAGATATAAGAATAATGTTAGTTTTTTTTTTCTTTTTTCATTTCAACCACTCATTCTATCAATAAAATAATATTACACATAAACTCAAAAATTCTCCTTACTTTTTAATCACATATTCTTCTATCAATCATTATTCCAAAATTTATTATTTCTTCAAAATGGGTGTCAAATACAAACCTAATATAATAATCAAATATTGTTTGCAACCTGTTTGCAAATTGAAATAAGGCAGAAGGTTTGGGCCTTTTTACTTTAGGGGTAGAATTGCACACGGTAAATTCAAAAGTCGAGAGAGAAATTGGCACGAATTCTTTGACACAAAATTTGTCAACTATGTTGTAGAATTTAAGGGAAAAAAAGGCTTAATTC